TTGAGGAGGCGACCTGGGAGACCGAGCACGATATGCGGAGTCGTTATCCTCACCTTTTCATCACTTTAGTATATCTCTATGCACGTTCGAGGATGAACGTTTGTTTTAAGAGGGGGAGAATGTAACGATCTGACCGGTCATTTTGTGTATTTGTGCGTCGTTTCCCCTTTTGATGCTTTACACATGTGTATTTGTGATTTTATGACTTGCGGGTTTGGTTAGTTTCATTCTGGGAAGATTTTGGATTGATTTGGACCCTTGGTTCTTGGCTTAGAAGCCTAAGTTAGAAATGTTGATCAAAATTTAGCTTTTGTGAAAATGACCCCGGAACGGTATTTTGATGGCTACGATAGGTTCGTATCATTATTTGGAACATGGGCGTATGCCCGAAATCAAATTCGGAAGTCCATAGATTGAGTTGTGTTATTTTGCCGAAAGTTAGCAATTTGAGGTTCATAAGATTTTTTCAAGTTTGACTGTAGGTTGACTTTTGGCTATCAGATTCAGAATTTAATTTTGGGATTTGGTATAGGTCTGTTATGATATTTAGAACTTGTATGCAAAATTTGGTGTCATTTGGAGTTGATTTGATAGGATTTAGACGCTTGGTTGCAATTTCTAGAGGTTCTTGAACTTTTCTTTGAAATTCATGCATTTTGATGTCCGATTCTGTGTTCTAGATGTTATTTTTATGTTTTGATCACGCGAGCAAGTTCGTATAATATTTTTAGACTTGTGTGGATGTTTGTTTGGTGCCCCGAGAGCGCGGGTGAGTTTCGGACATGTTTCAGAATGGTTTTGGACTGAATCTGGACTGCTGGTGTGCTGATGCCTTTGGTGTCGCAATTGCGAACACCAGCATCGCAATTGAGACCTTAGTATGGGGGGTCTCAGGTGTCGCATTTGCGATGCATGGGTCGCAATTGCGAAGTGGTACCTGGGCTGGGTAGGTTCGCATTTGCGACATTTTTGTCGCATTTGCGAGGGAAGCAGGCTTCGCAATTGCGAAGCCCATGTTGCATTTACGTATTCCCCCATAGTCTATCAGTGCCGCATTTGCGAGAAATTCTTCGCAATTGCAAGAGTTTTCAATTGCAAACCCAGTGTCACAATTGCGACACCTGTAACGGAACAAAAGGTTAGAAAGTCGGAATTTCATATCATTTTCTCTCATTTTAGAACCCTAGACTCGGTAGGAGGCGATTTGGAGAGGAGATTTTCATCTACAAATATTGAGTAAGCGATTCTAATAAATTTTTAACTATATTTCATGATTATATCTTAGATTTAATATCAATTTTATGAGAATCAAAGAAGAAATTTGGGGATGTTTTTCAAAGTTTTGAAAAATGAAGATTTGAGTTTTGAGAATCGATTTGGACTCGGGTTTGAAAAAAAAATACATATATGGACTCGTGGGATTATGAGTAGTCGGAATATACCCTTGGACCTAGGTTTTGACCGGACGGGTCCGACATTGACCTTTGTTGACTTTTTGGGAAATGCGTAAAGATCATAACTTTATCTATTGTAATTGGTTTCTCTTGCATTATTTGATGTTATTAAGTCATTTTTGTTAGATTTTAGTCGTGTGGAGGCAAATTTTGGGGGAAAAGCTATTTTCGACGGTTGATTTGGCCTAGTTGAGGCAAGTATCTTCCCTAACTTTGTGGGAGGGGGGAGAACTACCCCTTAGGATTTGGGTTGATTGTGCTATTTGTATTACATGAAAGACATGTACATGAGGTGACGAGTGTGTACACGGTCTATATATGGTATTTGACCGGTTTAGACTATTTTCATGCATTTAATTAAATTTGTCATAACACATTATATCTTTCATTGTTAGCTTTACTCTTACATGCTCTATTTGATGTTGTTAGCACTTGTTCTATCTCTTTTGTTATATTTGCTCTTATATGCTTTAGTTGAAGTTGTTACCTCCCTTATTGTCTTGTTACCTCTTTTATTGTTGCATTACTCCTACTTGAAGTTGTTATTTCGTGGGAACTATATTGTTATTCCGTGGGAACTATCTTCTTGTTGGGTTATTGACGTTGAAGTTGTGATAGCTATTATCACATTGAGGTTGAAGTTATTGATATTTGAGATATCTTTCCTTATTGGGTATTTCTCATTCATTTTGTTATTATTGAGATTCTTGTACATATTGTGGTTGAGTCATAGGCTATACGTTATGGTAACATTGGTATTGTTGATTTTGGCAAGTATTGTGGCATATGGGCACATGTGATGCGAGTTGATTATTGTGTTGTGATATCGATACACATGAGATGGTCTAAGGATAGGGGTTGATACGCATACGGTGAGATAAGATGGGATTTATACGCGTATTTCTAGTAAGGGAATTACTTGAAGCCACACGGTGAGATAAGGGGGCTAAAACGCGTATAGCTATTTCGAAAAAATATTTCAAAAAAAAATAAATGCAAGGCTCACGCGAAGATATAATGAAAGATTATGATTGAAATTATGAAATGTGAATATGAGGCGTGGTACCTCACTTGTGATTCTTGTTGTACATTCCATATTAAAAAGACTTGTTGATTGAATTGTTCTTGTTGTCTTCTTCATTGTCTTATTTATATTTGTCCGTATTTGATTACTTCTTGTTCTTATCATGTGCTCCTTATTGTTGCCTTCTTGCCTTAAATTCTATTATTATCCTACATTATTGTACTACCTTGTTATCATTCATTTCCTCGTTTTCTGTTATTGGCCTTTATTATACTCTGTACATGTTATCTTGTCATAGTAGGTGTCCTGACCGGGCCTCGTTACTACTCTATCGAGGTTAGGCTTGGTACTTACTAGGTACCGTTGTGGAGTACTCATACAACACTTTTGTACATTTTTGTGCAGATCCGGATACATCTGCTTGTACCGGGCGTTAGCGATCATTCAGCTTTTTTCGGAGATTTCATTGTATATCTGCTCAATGCTCACAGGCCTCGGTGTCACCTTCCTCCATTCTATTATTACTGTTTATCCTCTATTCAGATAGTGTTGTATTTGAGATTGTAGTATATTTCTTTCGAGCTTATGACTTAGTTTTACCGGATTTTGGGAGTATTGTAGCTATGATTCAGTATCCCTTTAAAAAAATTCAAGGGGCTCTTAAAATACCTCTTCCCCATTCTTTTTTCCTACCTAACCACTCCCCACCCACATTTTTACAATACCCCCAATTTACATCTCATAATACGTTTATTGAAAGTGTAAACCTACCCAATTGTTTATTTTACCTCTATCAAATTTTCATGGCTACGAAATCCCCCAAAAATTCCTGAGCTAGGAAGTATTGTAGCTATGACATAGTTTCCCTTTTAAAAAATTTAAGGGGCTCTTAAAATACCCCCTTCCCCATTCTTTTTTCCTATCCAACCACTCCCCCACCCACATTTTTACAATACCCACCATTTACCTCTCATAATCTGTTTATTGAAAATGTAAACCTACCCAATTATTTATTTTACCTCTATCAAATTTTCATGGCTACGAAATCCCCAAAAAATCGTTGAGCTAGGGTTTCGAAGTCGGTAATCAAAATCCGATCGAAGGTTGAAGATTCAATTGAAGAACCCATAAAAAACAATTTACACCCAAATCAGAGAAATAAGAAGAACCCACGAAAAAAATTACTTTATCTCGGGAATTGGCACTTGAAAAAATGTCTCATAACATTTAAAGGAGTCGACGCCATGAAATTATTAGTAACAGCTTCACATCGATACACGTGTGAGCTACTCGGGCAGTGAGACGCTGTCTTGAAGAAAAATTATATCCTTTATTTGAACCCAACTCGAAATTAAAAAATCTAATCGGAATTAGTAATAAAATCAGAGAAATTCCGATTTAATTTTGCTGAAAGGAGGAGGAGAAAAGTTTTGGCGAAGAAAGGGTCGGGTAATAATAGGAGGGTTAAGGGTTCATGTAAACCTAACAACACTATTATAAAGGGTATGTGAAGGGTGGACTGTGGTATTTTTAAAAACTACATGAATTTTTTAAAAGGGAAAAATAATTTTTGAAATTAAAAAATGTTGGAAAATCAATCTGTTAGTCGAGCAGGGTATGGATGACCCATCACGGCATGAGTATACCTAATACCAACTTTAAACGAGAGATATAGGACCCGTTTGGCCATAAATTTTGCCAAAATAAACTTGAATTTTATTTGGCAAACACATATTTGGCCATAGATTTTGCTTGCATTTTTGTCAAATCCCAAGTCCCAAATTCCAAATCCCAAACTAGCTCAATAGCTGGTTTTGAGCTAAAATATCACTATTATATTCTTAAAAATTATCCCAAACTTTTATATTTTATAAAAGAGTCCACCATTTATTATTTTGTAACGATGTTGCTTCGTATTCTCGGTCATCCGATAGTGTATCATGTAGTTCATTATAAAAATGATAATTTTGTATCAAATTTATTTATGTTCAGAACTATGGTTTGCGATAATATAATGAATGTTATTGATAATGGTACTATTGGGTATTTGTGATAGTTTTAGAACTTGTGGGTATAAGTCATATTTCATGTTTTTCCAAATCAAACTTCACCCAAAACAGATGTCCAAATACATTTTCATCTTCAAACAAAAATTCACCCAAATCAAATTTTTCAAAATAAATTTGAAAATTTATGGCCAAACGCTAGCATAATGTTTTTTAAGTTTGGCCCATTTTCGTTTTTTAAGACACCCCTAAACATAAGGGATGCAAAGATGAAAAAACTTTAGGGGTTGTTTGGTTCAAAATAATATTTTTGGAAAATTATAATTTTAGGAGTATAATCCCATTTCCGGTATGCAATAGATAATATCAAAATTTATCGATATTAGTTGTTATCAATAATCAAATGGATAAATGCAATTACACATTTAATATCAGAACTAATATTCTAATCCGATAACCATACCACCCTAAAAATTGTTAAAAGGAAGAACCGAATAGAGGAAAATGACAAAAGAAAAGAAAAATTATAAAAAACCCAATCAGCCAAACTTCGTCAATTGTCCTTCGGCAGCAGAGAGCAGCATCTCCGTTCTGCTCTCTGCCTTTCAATCAAAATAGATGCAATCATTAAGAACTTCTCCGATCATGAAGAGACCAAGAACCATTCCTTCAGCCCCATCAACCCCACCATCCCCACAAATTCTCCAATCCAAAAAGACCCCAACTTTAAGATCATTCTCTTCTATAAAACCAAGAAATATTCTAACAAATCCAACACCAACAACAGAGCAATACCCCAAATGGATACCCCTCAACTTATCAAGATCAGAACTTTACTTGCCCCTCACCTTCCCAACTGGCCAAACCTTCAGGTGGAAACAGACTGGGCCCATTCAGTACACTGGTGTTGTTGGTAGGTCCCACTTAGTCTCACTGAAACAGCTTGACAATGGTGATGTTGGATACCATTTCCACTGCACTACCTCTGAGGTTGCTGCTTCTAGGGAGGAAGCCCTTGTTGATTTTCTCAATGTGGGTATTTCTTTAACTGAGGTTTGGGAGAGTTTTAAGGTTTCTGATTCAAGATTTGCTGAGTTGGCTACACATTTGGAGGGTGCTAGAGTCCTAAGGCAAGACCCACTTGAGTGCCTCATTCAGTTTATTTGCTCATCTAATAATAATATCAAGAGAATTACCATGATGGTTGATTTTGTTTCGTCGTTGGGGAATTACTTGGGAGATGTTGGAGGTTTCAAGTTTTATGAGTTCCCTTCACTTGAAAGGTTGGCAATGGTTTCTGAACAAGAGCTAAGAGCTGCTGGTTTTGGCTACAGGTATGATCTTTTGCAATCTTTGTGGTTCCAGACTTATGTTTTTCTTTAATTCATATGTCCCATGATATGATATGATATGAATAGGTCCTTATGTCTTTCTTTTGGTGCACTAAGCTCCTGCTATGCGAGGTGTCTAGGAAAGAGCCATACGACATTGTCTTCTGTATACACAACCTTACCTTGAGAATGTACTAAATTATATTTATGGAAGAGGTGTTGCTGGTGTATGGAATTGCAGAGAAATTGATGGGCTTTATCTCAAATCCCATTAAGTTTCCTTTCCCCCTCTGTTTTTGTTTCAAACTCCCACTAAAGAAATGCATGTATTTCAGATAGTCAGATTTCTAGTAGTTTTGAAATGCTATTTGGCATTACATAGGTCTTCTTGGTTAGCAGTTTGATAGTGAATGATTTCCAAAACCTGTTAAATGGTACTAGTATGTAATGACGGATGATGTGATACATCCTATATCTTCAACTTTTGGGTTGTTTCTTCCCTTCTTTTTTCTGTTGCATTTTATTTGGGGCATATTTTAGGCAGGAACTTTAGGTATTTTGTTTAGACGAGGGGAATACTTTTAACTTTCTAGTCATACTTGAACTGATGTCAAGTTGTAGTTATATTTAATAACTCTGTACATAAAACTCCTGATGTTAGGTGTCCCAACTCTCTGTTAAGTTGTTCAGTTCGCCTTGTTTTAATTCGTTTCTAGAAATGAGCAGGGCCAAATATATTGTTGGCACGGTGGAGGCATTGCAATCAAAGCCTGGTGGAGGTACAGAGTGGCTGGCTGCACTTCGTAAGTTGGATCTTCCCGAGGCCATTGATGCTCTGTGCTCTCTACCTGGTGTTGGTCCTAAGGTCGCAGCATGTATTGCTCTCTTTTCTCTTGATCAGCACCATGCTATTCCTGTTGATACTCATGTGTGGAAGGTTAGCTTTCAAGGGCTTTACCTTTTTCTTGTTTAATAGATTACATCATCTCTCCATGTTATTTTGTTTCTGCACTGTTTTTAACTTGAGCAAATTGTCAATTTTCTAACATATGCCTTTTCCTTTGAGCCATACCGAGATATAAGATATGTTCTCACTCTTCTATAAGTATTTTGAATTAAGATAAACCTAAAAGAAGATTATTATCATTGTTGTATTAGATATTGTTGTTCCTTCCTTGCTTGATATTTTCCTGGACCTGCATTTTGTTACAGAAAGAGTATGTAGATGGGACTAATGAGTTCTTTATCAAAAAAGGGGGACCAAAGAAACTATGAGAGGAGTTTAAGTTTATTGATTTTTAGTAGATATGTTGGTGAATGATTATTTTATGGATTAAGGTTTTGTGCAGCTTTTGGACTCTTTCACTTTGGCATTAAAAACATTTTTTTTTTCTCTAGATGCTATTATGCTCCTCTTCTCCTTCACATTTATTCCCATGCCTGCTCTGAATGCATCCTTTTAGTGTTGCTATTGTGAGACATAATATTTGTTAAGTAATTAAAAGTGTGCTATCTCTAACAACTTAAGCTTTTAGATGAGATGGTCACATACTTCAACATAGTATCAGAGCCAGACTCATCGATCCATGCTTTTGTGTTTCTCAATATTGAGCCCCCCATTATTCACGCTCCAGTTGTCTAGTCTTAGGCGTGCGAGAGGGTGGTAAGTTCCATATTTGTTGAGGGAATGAGTTGTGGTCTTATCATATGATTTCAGAAATTCTCCACTCATGAGCTAGCTTTTGGGGTTGAGTTAGGCCCGAGGTCCATTTATTCATATAGTACCGGCGCAGACAGAGGTCTTGTATTCAATCTCACCGCCATCCAAAAAGTAAAAAATATTTCACGTGTTTCACTAATGAAAAAGAACCAATCCTACTCGTGGGGGGCGTGTTGTGAGACATAATATAATTAAGTAATTAAAAGTGTGCTTTCCCTAACAGTTTAAACTTTTAGATGAGATGGTCACACACTTCAGCAGTAGTTGTCCATTTCTCCGGAAGAAATTTTTTCCTATACCAATTTTAAAAAAAAACAGAAATATGCTTCATAGTAATCACAGTTTAGAAGTTGGTAAGTGTCCGTAATTTTTTTTGTTGTTGATGAGATAGTCTTTCTGATTATTAAGTTCCCTTTACGTCAGGAAAATAGGAGCCTGCATGTTGGCAGTTTTCTAGCCTTTGTTTTCCTCCTAAATAAAGACCAACTTTTTGGTCTAAATACAGACCAATTTTTTGGTGCATGTCCTTGAATATTTCCGCTCTTATTCGGAAAAGAGTTAAAGGTAAAGAGCTTGGAGCTTTACTGTCTGTCGAAGTGCCAGAATCTTGAGGAACCAAATAGTTTTGGGGATGCTTTGTTCCTGAAAGAATTAGCTTGTTTGGTTACCAAAGAAAAGTGAAATAATAAGAGTACTGCTCCATGCTGCTGAATACGGGATGACAAAAGTTTAGAAACCTGTGAGCAGTCTTTTTGAATGATAAAATGGGTACATGCAGTTTAGTACTAGAGCTTGCGGCACAATTCATGCATGCGTTTACTGCAGATTATAGACTGCCTGTATTGTGCTTCTATTGCTAAATTTTAGAAGGCAATCAAGATGTTAATTAAAGTCTGTTACTAGCCAAGAGAGGTGGATGTTACACCATGAGACTAATTAGTTGTATTTTATATTAGTTCCTTTTGCCAATCTCAATTCATCGATGCTTTTTGAGGTATAAAAGAGAACAGGTGCCCTCACAACAGAAGCAAATTTACACCAGCTTAGGGAGTGGCAGCTTTATTAATATTTAATTGGGTGGATAAGCCATTTGCTAATAAAATTGCTTGCATCATAACATATCCAAGAAAAGCAATATAACTTGTCAATGTGAGCAGGGTAAGAGATGAGGATGTTGAGGTTGATGTGTGGGCACACTAGGATGGATAAGATTAGGAATGAAGATATTCGGGAGAAGGTGGGCGTGCCTCCTATAGATGACAAGATGCGAGCAGCGAGACTTAGATGGTTTGGGCATGTGCGGAGGAGGAGCCCTCATGCCCCGGTAAGAAGGTGTGAGCAGTTGGCTTTGGCGGGGACGAGAAGAGGTAGAGGGTGGCCTAAGAAGTATTGGGGAGAGGTGATCAGGCAGGACATGGCGAGGCTTCAGATTTCCGAGTACATGGCCATTGATAGGAAGGTGTGGAGATCAAGCATTAGGGTTGTAGATTAGGAGGTAATTGAGCATTTTTCTACTTCGTTCCGGGTGTGAGGATAGACTGATAGGGTTTGTCTTAGATTTCTAGTGGTTTATGTTGTGTTCTCACTATTATCCCGTTTTTCTTTACTGGTTATTGTATTGCGTTTCAACTATTTTTTGGTTTCTTATAATGTTTTATTATTTCTATGATTTCTGTTGATGGTACTGATATATTGTCTCTTTTGTCTTTTTTGTTTTCGTGAGCCGAGGGTCTATCGGAAACAACCTCTCTACTCCATGGGGTAGGGGTAAGGTCTGCGTACACACTACCCTCCCCAGACCCCTTACTTCTGGGATTTTACTGGGTTGTTGTTGTTGTTGTAATGTGAGCAGGGTGAGGATCACAATAATTGCTGTGGGATGTTTAATTTATCTGGGTTTGGGATGAAATTAGCCTTATTTTTTAAAAGAAGGTTCTGCTAATTTGGAAAGTTGTAGACTGGAGAGCATGAGTCATTCTTCCTCTGTCCTGACTTGCTTGTCCCTTGAGCTTATCAAGGCCAATTTGACTGATTTCTGGAACTAAATCAGATCAGTTTATTATCCGAATAAACTTTCGATACATAGAGAATACACAAAAGTACTAGATATGATTCAGGCTGTGTTGTTAAAAGCCATCGCTTCGTCGCTCAAAGCGACGAAACAATGCGAAGAGGAGTTGTCGCTTCATAGGTAAAGCCATGCACTTCATAGAAGTGTGCACTTCAGATAATGATGTGCAAAGTGATCCAATATAAAAGTGACGGTTTGTTGAATCTCAATTTTGAGTTGGATTAATACTCATATTAGTGTACATTAGAGCTGAAGTTAGTTTTTTACAATTTGATTACTACAACACTAAGTTCTTGTGACTTTTAATTTTTCATAAATTGTGCGCTTCATTTCAAAGAAGCACGCGCTTCACTTCTCACTTTTGCTTCAAGCCCCGTGGACCTCGCCGATTTGTGTGCATCTTGCTTTAAAAGCGCTGGATGCAGAAGTGAAAACTGAACCATTTAGGGTAGAGGGAGCATTATGAGTAGCGCAGCGAGTTTTCCACGATGTATGTCGGCCCAAATTCTGCTATTATAGTCAACCCTCTCTATAATAGCCTCGTTTGTTCCGATATGTTTTGGCTTTTATAGTGAATGACTGTTATACACTTATAACAATATTTGAGATTAAAATATATTTTGGCCGTTATAGATAAAATTATCCAAAAATCAACTTTGTTTCCTTTTCCAATGTTTCATATAAAAGATAAGAAAATTATTCAAATTTAAAATCTCAAAAGATATGCATATTTCACTTGTTAAATATTGAAGAAAGTTAATACATTATTAATAAATTTATAACTAAACGTATAAAGATTTAAACTCTAAGCACACATTTTAAAGCTACTTAAGAAAATAAATTCTTTCAAGATTAGTGGAAGAACTTTATAATTGTAGCTTGTTTCGAAGATTTCATTATCGTACTAACGATATAACGATTGAATTGGTGAAGATTTGTGTCTAAATTTTCAGCAAAAAGATATCCAATAGCTTTCCCTTGAAGACAATATAAGAGCTTAACAGTTAAATATTCTATCTAAATATTTTTTGGTATTTGTCCAGTGGAAAAGATATCATGTGCAAATCTTGAAATCTTATGTCTTATGCAAAATAGAAACTTTATTCAATGAAAGAGATTGTGTGCATATTTTTAAAATTATTATTAGTAACCTTAAAGATTCTATATGGCTGTTATAGAGGGGTAATTTTACAAAGATCGCTCTGTTATAAATATGACTGTTGCTGTTATAGGTAAAAAGTTGTTATAGAGGTAAAATATAACTTAAAAAATTGGGTTTTTATAGTGAATGGCTATTATATAGGGATGTTGTTATAAAGAGGTTTGACTGTACCTATATTTATCATCTGTTCCCTGTTACACATTATAATATTGACATGCGAACATGCAGCACTCTTTGCTCTTTGAAGTTACATAAATTCAGAAAATGTACTTCTGTTCATATCTGTGAATACCATTTGACATTTCTTCCTGATCTTTTGCTAGATCGCGACCAAGTACCTCCTCCCTGAGCTAGCAGGAACCAGTCTTACACCTAAACTTAGCAATCGTGTAGCAGATGCTTTTGTGAGGACATATGGAAAATATGCTGGTTGGGCCCAAACTCTGCTTTTCATTGCAGAACTACCTTCGCAGAAAGGACTCTTGACATCAAGCCTTTTGAATTCTACGGTAGAGAAGTCTCCTAAATCCAAAAAAAGACAGCGTGGGATCACAGAGATCCCTATAGAGTGATACGACGTGCTTGTGTTTTCATGCTCAAAGTTGGACTTAATCTACGTGCAGAGCTGATGAAGACTGTTCTTTCTAGTTCTTACCATCTGAGGTATCAAAATTATCATGATACATATGTATTTGGAGATTTCTACTTGAAGAACTGTTAGGTTAACTAGCACCTTAAGTTTTCTAACATCTGCCAGAAGATGCTGCACTCCTCCTTTGCGGCCAGGAAAAAATATTGGTTACTGCTGATGGAGAAATTCTAATTATCTGCTTTTTCTGGCACCTGTTCTTTCTTGAGGTTTTCTTGGCAATGATAATGTCTTTATTAATTAATTAACAATTCCTTTACAGGCATGACAAAATGTGTCTAGCAGAGTAGCAGGTGAGCATTTTGCATGAGCATGAAGTCGTTGTACCATAATTCTTTGATTGGTAGTGACTAGCAACCTAAATTTTGTAAGTTGGGTCTTTGTTGGTCTGTTTTGTTATTTCCAAATTTGGACATTCAGGCGGCTAAAGTTTCACATATTTGAAATGTGGACTTCCTTTTGTAAGAACGTATTAATTTGCATTAACAGCATATCGTGTGTTAAATTGGTTGACAGTTTCAGTTTGCATTGCCTGTTGATCTGATTAGATCCATCTTCTCCCACCTTCCTCGTCATTGTTTTCTTGGAAATATATCGGACAGAAACCGCCAATGAAATGCCCGATTGATTCTTGCACTGTTTTTATTCATAAAAGATACAGAAAGCAGAGGCGGTAAAAGACGTGAAAATGTTTCTCAAATTCAGATTTTAGGAACTTGAAAATTTCAATTGGGACCTTTTCATCTATACAGGTAAACTTCAAATTGCTGATAATAGCAATGTACCTCCATTTGAAGGAATCAGTGACCTGTGTGAAAATATGGTTCTGTATTTCTACATTCCTATGATTTTGAACATTTATGTGGAAATCACGTCTGAGCTTCACCCAAACAAAGAATGGTCAACATTGTTCTTTTATCTTAGCGTAGCATCAACCGGCAGTCTTATGGATTCCTGATTATATGGATCTCCCGAAGTTTTTATTTGAGTGAGGAAAGGTGAATCTCTTCATCCCTAGACAAGCCTGGAAAATTCATAGTTGAAAAATGTAAGTAAAGCGAAAGGACAGGACAACAGACGAACTTTATATGATACACTTGATAAGATGATGGTTTTTGATGGACATGCTTTTGTTTGATTGGCACATAGTTGAATTAGGAACAAATACACATACTAGATCGTAAACCTATCACAGTGAAAAATGATTGCAAATTGGCGGGGTGGGGTGGG